GAGGGGGAGGAGGGGGAGGTCGGGTGGGGGGTCGCGAAGAGGAAGAAGAAGAAGCAGAGGAGGACCCTCGTCCTGACTTTCCATTGGCTACCACCGTCTCTGGGACGTCCTTGAAACTAACCTTCCTCGGCCCAGAAGGGGGAGGGGGAGAGTCGGAGGGATAGTCTATCGGTAACTCGAAAGTACCGTTCTGAGCACTCACACTCACAGGCCTCTGTTGCTGCTGATGCTGTTTTGAGCTGGCCTGTCGTCCCACAGTAAAAGGGCTATCGATGAGCTGCCTGCTCTGATGAGCGCGGCCTTGGTTGGGCGGGGCGTAGACGGAGCTGCCGTTGACCCTGGCTGGGTCATGTGACCGCGCAGTCACCTCCGTCACGTGACCGGTGGCGGGCAGACGACCCCAATCGGAACCTCTGCCGACGTTGGCGCCGGGCGTGAGGCGGAGAGCGTCGAAGTTGGAGAAGGACTGGTAGACTTCCGCATCCGGGTCCTCGTCCAAGCTGCTGCTGGTCGCCATGGCGACGGGTCGCCACATCTTGATGGTCGCGTACGGGTTGGCCTTGACCCTCTCCCGCTGCTGACCCTGGGTCATAGAGATGTCGTCCTTGGAGTGGTACCCGCCCCCTGCCCCGGACGACATGAGTGGGCGCGAAGATTTGCCCGACTTGTGGCTCCGCTGGTGGTGGTGCTGGTGGTGCTGCTGGTCGGGGGTCACGTGGTTGTTGTTGTGGTCGTCGCCGACCAGCGCCGACTGTAGCGCCCTCAGGGGACCGCTCTTCCGGGACTTGCTCTGGGGAAAGGTCACGGGGAGAGGAAAGGTCAAGGTCAAGGTCGTACTATGGTGTCACGGGTAGAGGCAAGGTGAAGGACGTACCAGAGATATTATACGTAGAGAGAAAAAAAAATGAAGGAGAGACAAGGTCAAGGACGCACCAATGTCTCCGTTCGTTTTTGTGTGATTGTTTGTTTGTTGTTGTTTGTTGTTGTTTGTTGTTGTTGTTTTTGTTGTTGTTGTTGCTATCGTTGTTGTTGGTTGTGGTGGTGGTGGCGTGGTTGTCATTGTGGTTGTTGTTGTTGTTGTTGTCGTTGTTGTTGTTGTTGTC